AACTAAGTATTAAGATTTTTATATAGTAAATATAAGATCTACTAATATAAGTACTATAGTAAATATAAGTACTACTAATATAACTACTATAATAGATATAAGAACTACTAATATAGCTATTATAGTATAATATAAGATTACTAATATAGTTACTATAGTAGCTATTATAATAGTTATAACTACTAATATAATATTCTAATAAATAGCTATAGTAGGTTAAGCTAGTAGCTTTAGTAGGCTTCTAGCTTTAGAAAGCTCTAAGTTAGTTATTTTATTTCTCTTTACCCTATATTAATCTGAGATTATTTAATTAACTAATATAGGGTAATCTAATTTACTCTATAGTCTATAGGGTAAATCTTAATAAATAATATTTATATTATTATTATTATTCTATACTAATACTAATATTTCTTATTTAATTTCTTAATAATTTCTATAGTTCTAATTATAATATAATTTAATATAATTATTATAATTATATATAGTTTAATCTTTTACTTACTAATAGTTATATTATAATCTAATTTTATTATTTTTATAAATCTTATATTTTTATTCTTAATATATTTTTATTAAAAGTTTTTTATTTATTTACTCTTTAGAATATTTTTTTAAGTTTTTTTTAAAAATAATATAGGGTTTTATTCTATAGTATTAATAGATAAATTATTATATTTAAACTATATTATACTTTCTAGATATTCTTCTATTAAAAAATAAAAAAAAGTTATTTAATATTTTTTCTTATTAATATATAATATACTAGATATTATAATATATTATTTAGAATTCTAATTTATAATTATATTTCTTATTAGTATTTATATATATTAAGTTTTTATATCTATTACTAGAGTATTAAATAGTATTTATAGTATTTTTTCTATATAATATTATTCTATATATCTTTTTAAGATTTTATATTTATATTTTCTATTAATAATAAATATAGAGTTTATTATATTTAATTTTAATCTTAATTTTAATAAATATATATTAATTCTATTTCTTAAAAATATATTTAATAAGTTTATTAATATAATAGAATATATATTTATATTTAATAAGAGATTTAATATTTATAATATCTTTTTTATTTTTATATTTCTATTTAAATTTCTAAAAGATATATATAATATATTATTAATTCTCTTTTAATATTATTTATTTATTTTTTTTATTACTAATTTTTAATATTTTATAGAAATTTAATATAGATTTTCTAGAAAATATAAGAACTATAATAACTATATAGTTTTCTTTCTAAATAATTTTTTTAACTATTCTAAGTATTTTAATTTTAATTTTTCTAATTATTTCTAACTATTTTTTATTTTTTTTAATAAATTTCTAATTTTTCTATTTTTTAGATTTTAAATATTAAAATAAAATATATCTAATCTTATTATAATTATAATATTTATATTTCTTTATAACTTCTAGCTCTATAGATTCTATATATATTTTAAATTCTATAGATAGTAATAGAGTTTATTATACTTTTTAATTAAGTTTATTTTTAATATAATTCTAATTAATATATTTATTTTCTTTTTATTATTATTTTATATATAAATAGTTATTAATCTATATAGTATTTACTATATATCTAGATAGATCTTTAGATTTATTTATTTTAAAAAATTAATTTTTAATTTTTTTTTTAAATTTATTATAGAATATAGCTTTAAAAAAGCTATTATTTTAATCTAATTAAATTAAGATTTTTTTAAACTTAGTAATATATTCTAATACTAATTCTATTTATTATAAATTCTTAAAATTCTTAATAGCTTATTATTCTTTATCTATTTATCTAAATATTATAATAAATATAATCTAGAAGTTCTTATAATTAGTAAGAATATTAATAATCTTCTAGTTTTATAAACTTAATATAATTTTATTATTATATTAATTTCTAAAATAAATTTAGAATTATTATTTTATAATACTATTAAGATATATTTCTATAAATCTAACTTTATTTTTATTTATTATTAATTTAATTAGAAAGAATTTAAAATATATTTAAAATTAGATTTTAAATTCTTCTAGTTTATTAGTATTACTTAAGAAAGATTTTAAAGAGATTAATTATATTATCTTTTCTTTATTTTTTATTTTCTTTTTCTTAAATTATTTAATTTAAATTATAAGCTATTATATAATTTCTTAAACTATTAAAGCTTATAGAATATTATTTAGTAGTTTAATAAAAACTATTTTATTTTTTAATATTATATAATAATTAAAATAAGATAATTAGCTAAATAAGAGTTATTAATATATAATAATTAGATAATTTATATTAAATAGAGTTTAAAATAAATTAAAATTAAACTAATTAGAGTATTATTCTAAGTAGTATAATTAGATTAATTTAAGCTATATAATATAAATTATTATTAATATATAAATATTATAAAACTAGTAATAATAAATATATAGATAATTATATTAATAACTATCTAAAGAAGTATTCTAGCTAATAAAATAAATATATATATATAATAAGATTATTACTTATCTATTATTTAGTTATTATACTATTTAAATAATAGGTTTATACTTATTAGTTATAGTCTTCTAGTAGATCTATACTTTATATATAACTTTATATAGTTTAATAGAGGTCTTTATTTATAATATTAACTATCTATTAATTATAAAGTATATATCCTTAGTAGTAACTTAGTTCTATATTAATATAGATAAAGTTATTCTATAGCTATAATATATTATCTACTCAGAATACTATATTATAATCTACTTAAGATACTTTTATATAATTTCAGATACTAATTACTATCTTATCTTATATAACTATATTATATTATTATCTTCCTAATATATATATATTATTAATAAAACTAGATTTTATCTAAATAGATATAGAGACTTCTTAGATTATTACTAGATATCTAGGAGTAATTAATATTTATTTATTACTACTAATTTAACTACTACTATATTTTTAATAGAATAGGTTCTATTTCTCTTTATAATAAGATAGTAATAAGAATTAATAGTACTTTTAGATTAAGATAGTTAGATTAAGATTCTAATAGAGTAACTAAATAAATACCTCTGATTAAAAAATAATAAGATATACTACTATAAAGCCCTATATAAAACTCTATATAGGGGAATAATACTTCTATATCTATAGAGAAGTAGAAAATAATAACTATTAAAGTAACTATTAATAATAATAGGAGTTAATAAGGTTCTAATTCTAAGTATTTATAGTAGAAAAATTAAGGCCTAAACTAGAATACCTAGAGTAAAGTAGTAGAAAATCTAGTAATTAAAACTTAGATATCTAGAGGAAATATAGTTAAATTTATATCTAGTAGAAAAAGATATATACTTTCTATACCCTGAAAGTAGATAAATTTATATCTGGTAGAAAAAGATATATATCTTTAGGGTATTTAGATATCTATAGCTATAATATAGATAGATTATAATTTCTAGTAGAGGAAACTACTATAGATAGCAGGCCTTCTATATAGAATAAAATAACTAGTACTATTATATAGCTATATTCTGCTACTACTTATAGAACTAGAGTATTATAAGCTACTGTTTTAGAAAGTATTACTTACTCTCTAGCTATAAGAACTTAGTAAACTTATAATCTATAATAGATAGATTACTACTATTATTACTATTATTATAGTTATTAGAATTAGTAATAGTATTATTATCCCCTATCTTAGATATAATTAAGATAAGCTATATCTATATCTATTTATAATTATTAGATATTATAAGATTAGTTTAGTTCAGCTATATTTATATAGTAAGATCCTATAATAGTTAATCTATAATAACTAATAATTAGCTTTATAATTCTATTTCCTAATCTCTTACTTTCCTATAGGCTCTATTCTTATAGTAATTAGTATAACTTAATTTTAGTTTTAGAAGTAGAAGAAAAATATATCTTAGTTATAGAGCTTATAGGTTTACTATAGCTTATCTATCTAGCTACTGGAATTATATATAAACTCCCTGAGTATTATAATATAGTACTAGCTAGTTATAATCTTAATTAAACTACTATTTACTTTAGCCCAGTATAATAGATCTATTTTATTATTCTACCTCTTACTCTAACCCTCCTTAGAGAAGTCTTTATATTATATATAATATATATTATTAGTATTATAAAGATATAAAAGATAGTTCCTAGGCTTATAATACTATAGCCTATTAATTCTAAATACCTTATAAAGCTTATAGATATATATAGACTTAATAGCTCAGTTTAAGCCTATACTCTATATTATATTTAGTTTAGTAGAACTACCCTGGACTCTCTCACCCAGCTGTCTCCCTCGCCTCGTTTTCATGGGCCTTGGCGCAGATGCCCGGGCTTGGTAGTGATGGAAAAAGGAGTGTCGCCTTATGCTCTACGAACTCACGCAATACGCCGGCTGATTGACTTCAACTTTTCGTCGGCGAGTCAGGAAAACGTGACCTCCAGGCCCTCATCGAGGCCGGCAAGCTAGCTCTCCGTCCTCAACCAAACGAGTCGGCCGGGTCACCAATGACCATAGTTAACCCTAGACTTAGCGAAGATCTTCGACAGTCGGTCAAGGACAAGACCTTTGGCCATCATGCCACTGCCTTTCATACGTTATACTATTTAACCTATTGTTCAGATATGTGATAAGTGAGATACTGACCCAACGATTGTACAGCGGACAACGACTGTCATATGGATAAACCTTTTTATCTATCAGACGGCACTTATCTATATGGTTGAGGCTGGATAGGAGATGGGTAGGCGAGATAGAGGATATAGCTGGGATATTGTCGAAGTTCTTCAAATAGTTGTCCTTCTAGCTAAATCACAGGAGAATGTAAACCTTTTATATCTATAGGAAGTGTATTATATAAAAGTCATCATATGGTAAGTCCACGCAACCACACTCGTCACATAACTATATTGGCCAGGAATCAACCGCTTTGCTTGGCTCAATTACCTATGATCTCTCCAGTTTATCAAAGCCCTTGTCCTTGTTGATCATGTTGGTCAGCGTGACTGAAGGAATAAATGTTGTACATAGCCAGCTGATAGTAGATGCGTCCCCTCGACGAATGAAAACACGACCGTTGAGAACATCGTTGACGATATTCTTCGCTGCCACATCAACATTCTGTTTGCTAGTGAATGCCAATCCCTTGTGGTGATAATCTATGATGGATGCAATCTTGCCATAGTACGACGTCTCTGGCAATTCTAAGTCAGGAACATTGGAAAAGGCATTCGTACTCATTCCGCCGAGTATGGCTGTGACAACTTTGACGCCGAGAGGGGCAAGCTCGATACGCAGTGTCTCGGACAACATTGTCAAGGCGCTCTTGGAGCTATTGTATATCCCTGCCGTCAGAGTAAGCACTAAACTCTTTACATTTCTGTAAATTTGGACGAATAAGCTTACCTGACCAACCGAAAACCAGTTCACAAGAGACAGAGCTGATGTTGCAAATAGTTCCTTTGGTGCAAATTATCATGGGAGCAAATGCCTTGACCATGGCAAGCGGAGCCCAAACATTGGCCTCGTACACTTTCTTGGCCTGCTCGATTGATGAGTCCAATAGCGGTATAACGTAGTTGTTGGCGGCAGCGTTGTTGACAAGGATGTCGAGAGATCCGCCTGTTAGCTTCTCAACGGCTTTGGTGCATTGATGGATAGACTCGTCCGATGTGACGTCCAGTTCAAGAAGCTCAACCCCCTCCATTTCTCCAAGTGTTCCGGCTTTGGATAAAGACCGAAGGGTTGCAAAAACCCTAAATCCTCTCGCTTCATAAGCCCTGGCCATTGCGGCCCCGAGTCCTCCATCCGTGCAGCCGGTTATCAACACTGTCTTCTTCTCAGTCATATTGGCTTACTTGATCATATCAGTTAACATGTAGGGAATAAAAATCAAACATTAGACGTATTGGAAAGGTTCTTTATACGCCGTCTACAGATTTTCTTCAACTCTACTTGAGAAAGTTCTTAAGCCGGTATTGAACGGATTCCGGCGAACCAAGTCCGTTGGTGGCTTGCGGAGCTTGAATTCCGGCGGACTTTCGAGCACAGGATTTGACGCCTGCTTCGCCCGATTCCAAAGAATGGTCGGGACATTAACCACTCTACTACGTATCCAACAAGAAAACGCTATGGGTAAAGCCTCAAAGAGTAGCACGTACGGCCGGGCTTGTAAGCAGTGTTACAAGGCCAAATGCCGCTGTGTACCCGACCCCAGTGGCAACGGCTGTAAAAGGCACGCATCAAATGCTTGGACCCCATATGCGTTGAGATACAAGCGACTAACTCTCTAGCAGATGTTCCCGCCTCAAGAAAGAATGCCAGCCCTCCATCTCAGTACGCATGCGAAATGAAAGTGCAATGACAGCCGAGGCATCCGATCCACGCATCACTCGCCTAGAGAACAAGATGGAATCCTTTCTATCAGCAATGCAGACAGTCGTGGGACTGAATGGTGCTGGAGCACTTCGAATTACCAACGAGCAGAGCGAATCCTCATTTGCTCGTAGGACCGATGCCGATGCAACACCAGAGAACTCTACCAGCAGCAGCTCGAGCATCATCGAAGCGTTCCGGCCCGGACCGTTTCCGAGCCGGCCACCATTTCCAACGGCGGCGCCGTCTCCAAATCCGTTTCCTTCCTTGCATCACCCTACGAACATGTTCGATTTGTCATCAGGTGATGCCCAGAAATGTCTGGACTTTTTCCGGAATCATATACTGCCATGCTTCCCTTTCATCAATCTCGGCTTAGATGTACAATGAAACGCCTTCTTTGCCCGGATGTTGAAAATCAACTACCTAAGCGACGCTATCGACATCAAGAACGCAAGCCCTATAACTAGTATATCCGGCTATACTCGATATAAAGAATTACAGATATATATAAAGAAATTATTATTTATTTTATTATGTTTTAAATTTAGTAGAGCTATAGAATTTTATAAACTGATATTAGGTTATAGATCTCTATAAAGATAACTTTAAAGATATTTACTATTATATAAAACAGCCTAGAAAGGATAGTAATAAGTTTTATATACTCCTTCTGATTATAAATCAGCTTCTAGATAAACTTAGTCTGAATAAAAACCTAAAGCTAGAGCAGCTAAAGAACTAGATTATTATATAATAGTAATATATATATTAATACTATTATCCTATTATTCAAACTAGGGATCTTCTTTATAATATATTAAGTATATTACTTATACTAGCTTAAGTCCTTAGTAATATTCTAGGAATATTAGAATAAAGTATAGTTTAAGCTAATTTTTAATTTTAAAGTTAGATATTATAAATAATAAAAATAGGGGTTACCTATTCTATATTATCTATATATTTCTATTACTAGTATACTATATATATATAAATATTAGTATATATTAATAACTTTAGAGGAGCTAAATATAAGATAGGTTTTAAGTATTATAATATCTAAATAATTATAAAAACTAATTTAAATCTATTTATATTATATATATTACTCTTAAAGAGTTCTTTATATATAGTTTTCTTAAGACTAGTCTAATATAGATAAGAATAGTATTAATATAGCTTAAGTAGTCTAAGTTATCTAATTATTTAGTTAAAGTAGATATATTTTCTCTAAAGTAAAAAGGTTCTCTATAGTTAATTAGAGGCTTACTATTATACTGGGTTAATATTATATAGTATATCTCTCTTATAATATTTTCTCTACTTTCTCTTTAAGTCTTTATAATTACTAGAGCCTTTTTTACTTAATTATAGTCTATTCTCTCTTAGGTTTTAATTAGACTGGAGGTAACTTAGTTTTAGCTCGTGCGATTTCATCCCGTAGACCAAACTCAAGCAGATAAGTAACTGAGGATAGGATAACTCGACGCTGCACAGAGAGGTAAGTTCCCATTCGATAGTGCAATCTCTAATCAATCACTCACTGACAGTTCTGCAAGGCGGAGCATGGCTACAAACACCCTTTCTTCTACTCCAATACCCGATGTTCCGTCAAGTATCAGAAAGAAGGTCTTCAATGGACTTTCAGCGGCAGTCAACACTGCTAGCAACAATTTCCAAGCCGACCTAGCAAACTGGGAACAGCGGATGTCTTCACTCTACGACATCACGGAGCTGTAGAAATCGAATCCAGAGTTCAGTATCTAACGAGCAGCATCGCTACAGGGAACACTACTCCTGGCTGATGTGTCGGTACAGTCTCGGCAATTATGCGCATGGCAGGCCAAGGTCTCCAACTTACGCTTGGCCTCGTCCTAGGAGTGCCTTCGAGAACAGAGGGTGGCACCGCGTAGGCACAAAACGAACCTATGGATCGCGTCTGGCGACAGCACAAACTGCAGCCTCCTACGGCGCTCCTCTGCGAAGACGTCTCTTCCCGTGGGCAACGGCATTAATCCAGCGATAGATAAATACACAGCGGAATGCAAACACGAGAATGAGGCGGCCACGAGGGGGCCCAGGATAGCAAAGAGGGGGAAGCCATACGACACGGACTGGAACGTGTCGTTGCGGGCGAGGGACACGGTCGTGAGTGCGACCTGCATCACTGGCCAGCCAGGCAAATTTGTCGCGAAAGAAGGCACCGTACTCATCCCACGAGCCAAGTAGCCGCGCGGCGGTGTCTGCGAGAGGGCATATATCTTGTTCAGCCGAATAGCAAGGCGCATGCTTCTAATCTTGATCTCGAACCCACGGTGATATTCATAGGATAAGGATGTTAAACTATAGTTGTATGCTTTGTCTAAACCAGTTCTAAAATTATCTTTGTGGTCTAGGACTCCATGAGACTCGATTACTCTATAGTGTAGGACACTAACGAGGCTTAGGGGAATGAGGTGAAGGCAGACTTCGAGGGCCCAATACACGTTGTGACGAACGAAGTACATTGGCGTAAGGGTTGTGTAGCATGTGATCGTATTGGTCGCTGAAGTAGTATTAGATAAGCCACCCAGTAATTACATTCTCGTCAATAGAAAGTTCCTTCTTATGGATAAATCCAACCCCAATCCTTTCGTAGTAGCGACTATGATTCTCATCCTGGCTAGCCGCTGGTTGCACAATCAACACATAACAATGATCGAGGGGTATGAGACTGTCCCCTTGGTTTTTCTCTATGCCTAGTATGGCACACCTCGCTGATAAGAGGTCATCATCCACTCTGTCCAACCGTATCCAATTTCGTTTGGTATTATCACTCCCATCTAGTGACTCAGCAGACGTCCACTTCCTGCGTTCCTCGATACTGCTTCGGAACATCCGAAGCCGCACATATAGCTTACCCTTGCTTGGAAATAAGAGCGACTCGTTCCAAAACACTGCTTGACGGTAAATGCCTAAAAAGGTTATTTCCCCGTTCCAAGCCATCCATGACCAAGATGGAATATTTCGGTCATTCGGATACTTGATACGCTTGAGAGGCGAGTTCCCGGCACGCTGCCAGAGGAGGCCTCTATGGAGAAACTTTTCAGCTAAACCATGCTTTATATCAGTGCAAAGCTCTTTTTCGAATCTTTGCTCTATGCCTAAAAAGGCTAGGGCTCGGTCTTCGGGTTTTGTGAGATTGAGCTGTGTATACTTCTGAATAAGGAGCTTAACAAAGTCCCATTCTGAGGCGTGAACACCATATCCTATAGTACTTGGAAACGCTGGATCTCCGAGCCTGTAAGAGTTAATGCTAGATTATGTTAGCCTCTTAACGTAATGCCCGGGCCTCGTTAATGTGAATATATTGCTCACTTGTACATAAGGGTGAGAGTTTCGCAGTGTACGCCAATACCACACTCCCAATACGTTTGCGTGTTGGTGAAGTGAATGGTCCGTTTCGACAGGCACCGTTCCTGGAAAACCCAGCCTCTTGAATTAAGAGCGCTGCTCTCCACATCGCGATTGAAGTTGTCGATCGGTTCACAAACATAATATGGCATTTCCCCGGTACGGTTGATTGCGAAATACCTGCGGGAAGGTCGTGGTTCGAGAAACCCAACAGTTGAGTCCTGCGCCGAGCTAGCGGCCAACGTACAATACGCCATGGTATATACCGTTTCCATCTTCTTTGCTTCCCGTTCCCAATCACTGGGGTCGTCTTGGATGATGCACAGGGAATCGATCCACAAATATCGCTTGTTAAGCTGCCGAGTTACTGTGATAGCATCACGGAAGTTCTGCGGTAGATCTCCCATATCGATTTGATCAACGCGTTTTGCGATGTTGCTTTTGAGAGTTCGGACCTGATTCAGATATTTGGGTGGCAGATTACCCCAACAGTGTGACAAAGCAATATAATCCGCTTGTTCGTTGGGCTGCGAACAGTAAAGTCGAAGCACCGTCGAGTTCGGACCTTCTCCAACGTCGAGAACTCGGCTGGGAAGAACGCTATTTGATCCCCTGTGGCAGCCCCAGTATCTATGATCCTCGGAGTTATCGCAAGAATTCAACCAGTGCCTCAGAAGATCGAAATACGTATCACTACCAATATCTAGTAGTCTGTGGAAACCAATGTCCGTCTCATTCAGGCGTTTGTTGAATTCTGCTCACCAGCCCGTTAGCGATGAGGATCAATTCATGATGATGCGGAAATTATGTACCAGGCAGGGTAAGTACTTGTAAGACAGGCTGATTGGAAGCCCTCAATGTTAGGGTTGAGCCCACTTTGAAAAGAGTAACGTCCTGCTCATCAGGATGAAACTGTGACAGACAATGGTGGCAGAGCTCACAGACATCACATGAATCTGCTCTGTGTCTCAAATCTGCCACATTGATCTTCAGTTTTCGCCTCTCGATTTTGGGCCAGGTCCAGAATATCTCAAGCGAACAGCCAGATCGACTGCATAATTTTTTTGATGTGGAGATTCCATGCTCGCGCTCGGCTTCGGATTCCATCCCACGAATATCCACATAATTCGTCAAGTCGAAATATTCTACCCGATCATCAATATACACACCCTCCGACTCGTCATCAACGTCCACGTATTCGAACACTTCCTCAACTAGTACATACTCAAGCAAATCCCTGTACGGGCTCGAGATGGACTGATTTATTTGCCTCGCAAAATCTTGAGCGAACTTGGTGTTGTTGAATCGGATCCACTCATCGCCCATGAGTTTTGCGTGAGTGTATTTCGCTTTATTATAGAGAGCCACAGCTCGAAGTGAGCCAACAGGCTTCCAACCCCTCTCACCATCCCAATCTGATTCGTTTTCGCCGTTCTCTTGACCACAGAAGTCTTCCAAGGCTTCGAGTAGTCGCACAACGGCACTATGCCCCTTCCTATGGGTGTAGCATAGAAGCGTTAACCCATGGGCGTCTGTCACATCGATCTCCGCCCCCTTTTTAGCTAGGAGTCGTGCAACACGCTCATGACCCTTTCCGGCAGCTAGGAATAACGGCGTTCGAGCACAACAGCCATCCTTCACTTCCAAATCTGATCCATACTCGAGTAATAGTTGCACGAGATGGTGGTCCCCTCTCAAGGCAGCCCAGTGTAACGCTGTATACCCTACTGTATCTTGTACCTCAGTTTCACCACCCTCTTCGAGTAATCTCTCAACAAGGACTTTATCCCCATTCCTGGTAGCCGAAATCAATGATGGTTGATCATATTCATCACCCGATTCTGGGCATACGTCATGATCCTGGAGAGTAAAGTCTTCCATCTGGCTGCCTTCGATGGACTTGATAAGATCATGTGACGTTCCGGTATTGCATACGAGCGGGTATCCGTCTTCATACTGTTCAAGACCGGCTAGGCCCTGGGACTGATCGTCTTCCATGTTGTGGGTGTCAACTACTCCAGTAGGGGTCATGTAGTGTTGACTTGGATAGGTGTATGCACTTGGCTTATTAAATGGTATCAGAACAGATCCATATCCACAGAGCTTCAAGCTCAATAGTACATGGATGGACGATTAGCCTCAATGAGGGTAGCTCAGCTGTTCGTCCTTAGGACCGCTAGTTAAGTAGAATTGAAACCGCAAGGCCGGGTGGTCCAGACAATTTGCGAAATTACCCCGCACCGATGACTCACTCCCTGAATATGAAAATGTCGCAATGAGGAGTGCATTTTGGATAATGGCACCATTGCTACCTTCTACAGTGTCGTATTGCATAGCTCCCTGTGCGGCTGAGATACTTGCCAACGAAAACCAATGGCATGACCGTGATGGAAGCGGGGGCCAAGTTGTCAAATTTGTCTTCAGCCAGCCACAGGGGACCCTCACCCTTGATAATGCCGACAATTCTCTCGACAGGCCCGTGGAGCCAGCGGAAATCGTACACCACAGCCGTACAGCCAGCGATGAGCATCAGCAGCGGGAAGTACCACAGCGCCTTGTACAGCATACCGGCCGCAGCGCTGAGGAAGACAAGGACACGTGTGAGACGATCGGTGATGGCCTTCTCAGAGAGCTGTACGGCGGCGAGCGTTAAGACCTGAGAGTAGGGCATAGACGGCCCGTGGGAGCGCGTCGCCGACATTGGAAACGCCAACAGCGAGGCCATATATGCCGAGCGCGCCCGGGAGACTTCCATGTGGGCAGACTGAATCAGTAACGAGGCACAAGGGGAGAGAAGGGGTTGGAGGCCCATACCTCCATAGCAAGAAACTCAGGACGACGGGGATCAAGCCATCGTGGAGCAGATTGATTGATACAATAGTGTATCTTCGTGCTACTCAGCACGTACCACCTGCTCATCGATCCATAGGATCTTATCCACAAACTTGTTCCTAGCAGCCGAGTTATTGGTTTACTGTCCAGAGGTGCAACTGGTTAAGATAGTTTATATTCAAATCTTTAGTTCGTAGCTGTAACAGGAGCGGGAATATAACACAGGCAGTTCTGGGTGTCCATACTCTACTCGACAGTAGTAAGATATCTGAAGCATTTAATACCCAGGCTAGAACGTATTATATCCGTCCTGGACCTTTCACTCTAGATTTCTTTTGAGTTCTTTTATTTATTTCCTAAACAGCCGATATACGATACAGCACTTCAACAGCTATTCAATTATCACTAGGCTTACCCTAATATACTATAGCTTTAATAGTTATAGCAATTACCTATTAATTACTCTTATACCTAGTATTTAGAATTAACTGAATCTAAATATTATTTATAGTTACTTTAGTTAGAAATATATCCCGCAGATCTTTATATAGTAAATAATATAATCTATAAGTAAGCTGATTATATAAGTAAGCTGATTACTTCTATCTAGAAATTAGAACTTCCTTTTTATAATTAAATAACTTTCTACTATAAAATAAATATAATTTTATATAAAGTAAATATTATTCTTATAATCTAAGCTCTTAATTAAAATCTAAAATTAAGTATTAGAGTAATAGTAAAAGTCTATTAAGTTCTATATATAACCCTTTATAACTAATATACTAGTTATATAGTAAAATATAATACTTAATTAAAATTAATAAATCTATTAAAATCTAAAGAGAAAGCTATTATCTTATATATACTTAAGCTATCTATATATATATTTCCTCCTAGGATATATAGTATTAAGGAAATAATTAATATCCTGCTATATATATATAATATACTCCCTATTAGTATTAATTAGACTTCTAACTTTATTAAGTAGTAATTAGAGCTCTATATATACTAGGTTTAGAAATATAACTATTAGAGAGCTAAATATAAAGATCTAAAGATTATTATATCTTAGTTTAGTCTTATATATAATCTAAAGGTAAAATATAGTATTCTAGATAAGAATCTATATAACTTTAATAAGATTAGCTTTATAATAGATATTATCTTCCCTGGGATAATAATTATAATCTTAGAGGGTTATATAAAAACTAAGCTAGTTCAGTCTAATAACTAGAAATAGATAATTATAATCTAAGAGGTAAATATAGCTAGTTAGGCTATCTCTTCTTTTATTATTCTAACTACCTAATATTATCTTAAGAACTAGTATTAGAAATATAATCTACTATATAACTAGTAGCTTATAATAACTAAAAATAACTAGATTACTAATAAGATTAATCTAGATTAGATTAAGTACTTTAACTCCTATATAGCTCTTTATATAAAGAGAATGTATTAGATACTAATCCTTAATAGCTATAAGAGCTATTATTTAGCTAACTTTAAGACTTACTATTAAGAGCAGAAGATTATTATAATCTATATATCTTCTTACTTCTCCTATCTTCTTTAGCTACTAGATATTAGCTACTTTAGACTACTTAAGTAGTTATATAGATAAGAAATTAAGAGTCTAATATAAATATATATTATCTATATTAGTAAGTTTAAATTTCTCTCTATCTTTTATATAGTCTTCTTCTACTCCTTTATAGAGAAGAATATCTAGATAGACTTTATTAGATCTAGCCTAATACTATATAATCTAGAGAGAGTTCTTTTAAAACTAGATATAGTATTATAAATACTAATACTACTAGAGACCCTATTTAAAATAAGATAGCTCTAGATTCTAAAGATACTATAGACTATATATAAGGTAAGTATATAGTCTGAATATATTAAATTTTAAATTTTAACTTATTAAAATAACTTTCTAATCTCTATACTAGCTATAGTAGATTAATTTATAAAGAGAGTAACTATAATAATATACTAGATAGCTCTTTTATATACTAAGATCTATAATCTTTATATAGTAAATAAGATACTAAGTAAGTACTAAAGAGCTAAAAAAAGCTATATATAGCTTAGAGGGTCTCTAACTATATAGAATAGAATAGATCTATTAGACTAGAAGGATATAGATAAATAGCTAAGAGGGAAAGACTGTAGAAGTAGTAGTTAGAAAGAGCAGGCTTATATAAAGACTCTATAATATAATAATTATAAAAAGCCTGATTATAATATCTAAACCTATAGGAAGACTAGAGAGAAGTCTAATAAATTAATTTCTAATATTATTATTATAGATAATTAGCTATTATTATTTTAATTAACTTTATTATATAAGGAATAGATAGAAGTAATCAGCTTACTTATATAATTAGCTTACTTATAGATTATATTAGAGATTACTATAGTACTATATTTTTTTAATTCAGCAGGGAGAAGGGTAACCGCACCTCTATATTACTCCCCTGTTAAGTATACCTTCTATCTAGCTTTAGTTAATAAATTACCTTATCTTTACTATAATATCTCTTCTATATAAGTTATACTATATTAAATAAGGGTTATATTAGAATTTAAATAATAATAAAATTAATTTAATAATTCTAGATTTTATTAATAAATATATATCTTTCTACTATTCTTTATACTATTCTAATATTAGAGTATACTTTTTTACTCTAGATAGATATTTAAATAGTCTCTAGAGATATAAAAAAATATATATAAGTTAATCTTTATACTATCTAAATAATAGTAATAGATAAGAGATAGCTTTAATAGTTATTTAATAAGCTGCTATTCTAATAGTAAGTAAGTTATCTATATAAAGATTTATAGAATTTTCCTACTATATAATTATATCTTAGGTAGACTAGGAAAAGCTATATTTTTAAGCTTTTATATTTATTATATTAAGTTATTAGGCCCTAGCAGCTTTATTATTATTAAACTCTATTCTCTTTCTCTTCTGTAATAGTAATAGATATAACTTAACCTGGGGCCTATCCCTTATTATTTACAGTTTTAAAGAGAGGGATTTATTAATATAGCTGTCTCCCGGGCAGAGTATTAATATAGAGATAATACTTTATATAGTACTATTCTTTTCTTATCAACTAGAACTCGCTTATTATATAGCTTTACCTCTTACTCTACCTTGCCCTAGTTTTATATTTCAGCCCGTCTAGAGTAGAGTTAATATACAGTAGCCCGGATTATTGTGACAGTTGGATAACTTATACTGGAAGAGGTCTAGGGTAGATCAGGGTTAAACTAATCAGAGTATTATTCTGAGTAGTATAATCAGATTATCTTAGGCTATATAATATAAGTTACTATTAATATATAAGTATTATAGAGCTAGTAATAATAGATATATAGATAATTATATTAATAACTATTTAAAAAAAGTATTCTATCTAGTAAAATAAATATATATATATACTAGTTAGTTTATAAGAGCTTATTAGTAATCTAGAGTAAGTTAGACTAGAGATTATATAGGCTTATTAATAATCTAAAGTAATTTTTCTTTTATTAATATAAAAAAATAGAAGTATAATATATAATATTAAGGGTATTTCTTTATTTATAATATATTACTCCTCTTCTATTAGTTTTATTCTAAAACTAAGTTTTATAGTCTAGTATTTTAATAAATAATTTCTTTATTTTTTAATTATTTCTTTTATATTATTAATAATATTATAGCTTATTTTTAAAAAATCCTAATAATATAGGGTTTTTATATTATTAATTAAGTAAATAAGTATTAAAATAATATCTTATTTAAACTGCTTTAAGTATAAGAAAGTATATTATATAGTTAAATTATTATTATATTATAGTAAATATATATATATAGAATAATTATATAATAGTATAAAAGTAGTATTATAATATATATTTTTCCTTACTTTATATATATTCTATTACTAACTTCTATAATAAAATAATTAGTTATAGAGAAATATTAGTTAGATACTAAGTTAGCTTTCTCTAAAGTAGTAGTTTAGAAGGCTTTAGTAAAGGTTTTATATTTTTATTATTAGTATTAGATTATATAGGAAAAATCCTAGTATTTATTTTATCAGGGGATTAGAGATCTAAATAAGTAGAATATAATTTATTTCTAGAAGGAGTTTATTTTAAAGAAATAATAAGCTATAGATATAATATAGTCTCTAGATATTATAGGAATTATTAACTAGATTTTAATTTTATTAGAGTTTTCTAATTCTTTCTTTTTTTCTATTAATAGAACTACTAAATAAATTAATAATAGTTCTTTAGATATTTAATAGATTTCTAAATATTATTCTTATTAGTATATCTCTTCTATTTTACTAAATAAAAGATCTATTTATTTCTAATTTTTTTCTTTAGAATTTTTTTTAATTTAAATTCTTTTTTATAGATCTTAATTAAATAGTTTTAATTTAGTATATTTTTTAGTATTTTCTTAAGTAATAAAATATAAAAAACTAAATAGATATATATTATATCTAGTAATAAGAGTTTATAATTAGTATCTGATTTTTTCTTAAGAATTTTAAATAGTTTAAGTTTTTTATAGTTTAATTTATTATTTAATTTTATTATTATAATATTTTTTCAGAGTAAGTAGATCTTATCTCTCTCTTCTAAGATTAGTTTTTCTAATCTAGTTTTATTATAATATTTTTTTATTTTTTCTTAAATAAATTTAAATTTTATTTTTATTTCTATATATAATAAATATAATATTTTTTTTATTAATATAGTAGCTAGTATATTAGATCTATTAAGTTCTAATTAATTTTAAAATTATAGTTT